ACTAAGAAAGATCTCTTCCAGTTCTGACATCTTGTAGCTCTAGTATTCTAAATCAAGAAGATTTGCAAAATCTTTTTTTTCTTTTTTTGCAAAATACAAAGTTATATTTTAGTTAATATGAAAGTTCATGATTTTTATATCAAAATATTGATTTAGGGGTGCCTGGTTGGCTCAGTTGGTTGAGCCTCTGACTCTTGGTTTCAGCTCAGGTCCTGATCTCATGGGTCATGGGTCACAGGATTGAGCCCCACATCAGCTCCTACCTCGGCAGGGAGTCTGCTTGAAGGATTCTCTTCTTCTCCCCCTCCCCCTACAAGCACACACTCTAAAATAAGTAAACCTTTAAAAATATATATACACATTGATTTAGACTAATACAAATGCTAATTTCCCAACTTCTAAATGTTCTTTGTCCTGAATATCAATTCGACAAATACTAAAAAAAAAAAAAAAAAAAAAAGGGAATGTCTTTCACTTAAGATTTATTTATTTTAAGATGGGAGGGGTAGAAGGAGAGGGAGAGATGCAGACTCCCCGCTGAGCAGGGAGCCTGATGTCGGGCTGGATCTTACAACACTGAGATCATGACCTGATCAGAAATCAAGAGTTGGATGCTTAACTGACTGAGGCACCCAGGCGCCCTAACATTCACTTTTCTAGGGCAGTAGTTCTCAGCGCAGAGCAGAGGTGTATCAGAGGCCTTACGGGAAAGGGAAGAGAAATGAAAGAGACCCATCACACAGATCTACTCCTACTGTTGTTTGTTTTTTAAGATTTATCTGTTTGAGAGAGATAGCCTGCATGCATGTGAGCAGCAGGAGCCTAGCAGGGAGCCCCACTCTGGGCTTGATCCAGTGAATCCGAGATCATGACCTGAGCCGAAACCAAGACTCAGATGCTCAACCTACTGAGCCACCCAGGCACCCCTACTTTTACTGTTTTGTTTTTGTTTTTAAGATTTTATTTATTTATTTGACAGAGAGAGAGACAGCGAGAGAGGGAACACAAGCAGGGGGAGTGGGAGAGGGAGAAGCAGGTTTCCTGCAGAGCAGGGAGCCCAATGCGGGGCTTGATCCCAGGACCCTGGGATCATGATCTGAGCCGAAGGGAGATGCTTAACGACTGAGCCACCCAGGTGCCCCTACTTTTACTGTTTTATGTCTAAATTTTAAATAAGGCTTCTCTGACACAGGGTTCCACACCTTTAAAAAAGGGGGGTCTCAAAAAGCATATACGCAAATAAAACAAACATGTAAGATAGGTATGTTTAATATCCAGTTCACCAGTGAAGAAACTAAGGTACAGACAGTTGAACTACTTGTCTGAGCTCACACATTTAGGAAATGAAGATGGGACCAGAACCCAGGCATTTTGGTTCCAAAGTCCATGCTCCAGACTACTATGCTAAGCTCTACATGACATAACAGTTTAGAAAATAGACAAAAAATATAACCTGAATCTCCAAGACTCCCAAATGCATTCAGAAATAAAGATACTAATTAGTATGGCAAGCAAGGTTGTTTGCAACTGAGCCTCAGCTAGACCCTTCAGCTTCTGCCACCACCAGCTACCAACACATAACACAGACCTCCCACATTACAGTCACATTGACCTTCTCATCAGGCCTCAATCATATGTATATTTACCATTTATTGAGCTAATTCAGAAGGTCTGGGAACTGTGCTGAGCATGTTATATACCAGACCTCATTTTATCTACGTGACAATCCTGTGAGCTAAGGGAGTGTTTGCAGATCTTACTAGTCTTGTAGAACTTAAATAGCTTGCCCCAAGAACAAGATCTAGTAAGTAGTAGTGTATGAACTCAAACCCAGGTCTGTTGTGACTTCAAAAGGTTATGTTCTTGACCACAATTTCTTTCCTAAAATGTGCTCTATCACCAAACATCATATTCATTCAAGATGCATCTACAACAGTGCTTGGCAAATAGTAGGCACTGGAGATATTTGCTGAATCAATGAATAAATGAACAAATGCCCCCTCCTCTCTAGAGGCCTCTCTGACTCCCTTATAAAATTCAGTTGCTCTCTCTACATTGTCACAAGACTTGTTTCAAAGCTCTCCTATAAGGCTTCCCAGGAGCTATTCCATGCTTTCTACTTATATGTACATATTACTCACTAGACTGGAACCTTGTTTCACTTCACCTTTGTATTCTCAGCCTCTAACAAAAGGCCTGGCTTTTAACAAGCACTCAGTAAGTTTGTTAATTGAATAAATTTCCCTGAGGAGAAGTGAGATGAATAAGAGACTCAAGATTCATATTAAAACTTCTTTTTCCTCAAGAAATAAACAACATTCAAAGCTGTGATATACTCAAATGTGTGCTCTATAAATACTTTTAGGTTTCAACTATCATCAGAGGCATCTAAATTTAACTCATTCAACACATATTTATGAGTAATCTAAATACATACATATAAAGGCTTACAACCTAGTCAAGGAGATAAAACATAATAAAAATGTAAAGGTAAACAGTCAAACTTGAGCTGCCATGAGGAAATACAAGACTAGGTGCCGCATAATTGGTCAAACAAAATGCTGTGGGCTTGCAAGTTGAAGACCTCATCGGGCCAAAGGCCATGGGTCTAATTACCTGATGGACAGTCTACAATGAGGCTCTTCACAGTCAATAGCAAAATGAGGGGAAGAACAAGGGACAGTGCAATGTGTTTTCCATATAGAAGTATTTAATTCAATTTTTAAAACTGTCCTTAATCTGACATGTTCTTCCTGCTCTTTGCTGTAAAAAGGTAGTTTCTCTTCAAAAATAATGATGATGGGAGATAATCATTTCTTTGTGGTTCCACAAAACTTGTTTTTAAAATTTTATTGGTGCAAACATTCCAAACATTTGGGAACTACTGAGCTAGGGTACTCTGTGATGCTTCTCTCGAAGAGGAAGAACTTGAAGTGAACATTGCAGAATGAACAGGATTTGGCTAGGTGGGAGGACAGGAGATTTTAAGCAGGGGAAACGGCCTGATAAAAATACAGAGGTGCTCACACCAGTCAGAATGGCTAAAATTAACAAGTCAGGAAACGACAGATGTTGGCGGGGATGCGGAGAAAGGGGAACCCTCCTACACTGTTGGTGGGAATGCAAGCTGGTGCAGACACCCTGGAAAACAGTATGGAGGTTCCTCAAAAAGTTGAAAATAGAGCTACCATATGACCCAGCAATTGCACTACTGGGTATTTACCCCAAAGATACAAATGTGATCCGAAGGGGTACATGCACCCCAATGTTTATAGCAGCAATGTCCACAATAGCCAAACTATGGAAAGAGCCAAGATGTCCATCAACAGATGAATGGATAAAGAAGATGTAGTATATATATACAATGGAATATTATGCAGCCATCAACAAAACAAAAAACGAAATCTTGCCATTTGCAACGACGTGGATGGACCTACAGGGTATTATGCTAAGCGAAGTAAGTCAATCAGAGAAAGACATGTATCATATGATCTCACTGATACGAGGAATTCTTAATCTCAGGAAACAAACAGAGTTGCTGGAGTGGTGGGGGGTAGGAGGGATGGGGTGGCTGGGTGATGGACATCGGGGAAGGTGTGGGCTATGGTGAGCACTGTGAATTGTGTAGGACTGTTGAATCACAGACCTGTACCTCTGAAACAAATAATACATTATATGTTAAAAAAAAAAAAAAGAAGAAGAAGATAGTAGGGAGGGAAAAATGAAGGGTGGGGGAATCAGAAGGGGAGACAAACCATGAGAGACTATGGACTCTGAGAAACAAACTGAGGGTTCTAGAGGGGAGGGGGGTAGGGGGATAGGGAAAAAAAATAGAGAGGTGTAAGTGTTCATGTAAAGTCTGAAGAATAGTAACTAAATCAGGTTGAAACTTGGAAAAACTGCAGCTGCGAATTCCATTTCTGGCAATATGACAAGCTAAGTATACTTCTGATCCTCTACTGAAAACAATCATAAATAATGGATGTTTTTATCTTTTCAAATAAATACACTGACAAGCTTGGAAGGAAATAAGGAAGATTCAGATGAAGAACTGAATGAAGCTAGGAACCCAGCAAGGTAAAAAGCAAAATACAAAAACTAGCTTTCCCCTTGAAGGCATTTACATTGCCCAATGGAAGATTCTTCTCCCAATTAAATGGGGCCCAAGGAATACAAGGCAGAAGTAACATCCAGCCTGAGATAGAAAGTATAATATACGCTCCTCCTTCATAATTTAAACTGGGACTACAAAGGTGATCAAGACAGAAGCCCATCCACACACATACACATCTCAAAACTATAATGAAAACAATTACTTTCAAAACTTGGCTATCTTCCTGCAAGTTCAACCACAGCTGGTCCTCACAAGGGATTGCTACTGAATGGTCAAAAACTTCAACCCAGGAATGCAAGTTGAAGTGGTCACAAACTGAAAGTGGCCACAGAACACTAACAAAAAATATGTAAATCTTCTCTAGAAAAATTCACTTCAACCTTGGCCTAAACACACACACATACAGTTCCAAGAAATAGTTCATGGGCAAAAATTAGAACCCTCCAGGAAACAATGCCCATAAATAAGGACCTCAGAAATAAAAGATGGCAGAATCAGACTTTTGAAGACTTCAGATACTGGAATTATGAGAGACAGGACATGGAATGTTCAATAAACTTAAAGAAATAAAAGGATTAAAAATGAGTAAAGAGTAAAACTATGACATGATCAAGCAAAATTGAAAAAGAACAAAGTATTTCTCAAAATAAGGAAAAAAATAACTCCATGATTGGCTAAGAGCAGAAAGGTCAAAACCAACTGAATTAGAGATACAACCAAATTGAATCAGTGAACTTACAGAAATTATACAGAACAGTGTTTAGAGACAGAAATTATAAAAAAGTAAAAGACAAAAATAGACCCAAAAATTCTAAAACGAATCAATATTCCAGAAGAGGTAAAGAGAATGGGGCACAACCCAAGCTGGTTTTAAGGCTCTATTTACCTTTTTGGATTCCCATCTTCACCTTAGTTCTTGGTATGAAAAGAGCTGAAAATTTTCCAAAACTGACAACAGATACATATTCACACATTCAAGGAGTCCGATGAATGCAGAGCAGGATAAATAAAAAGAAATCCGAAGTTCTGGTTCCAAGTAAAATACAGTAGGCATACTCCACCTTGTCTCTCACAGCTATAAAATATATCTATACAACCAGGGTAGAATTCATGGAGCACCTATGTGAGGAATCAAAAAAGGTAAACAATAGTAGATAGATTGGGGTAGAAGACTAGAATTCAAAATTTCACCAAATCAGTGATAAACCATACATTTACCATTTTCTTTCCTCTGGTATCACTCAGCATGGGCATAAAACAGCACAAAAACTGGAAGTCAGCAACAGCATAGACAGAGTTCCAGGAAAAGCACTCTAGTTCAGGCTCAAGGAATGGGAAAGCAGGAGGATCTACAGATACCTAAAGCAGTGAGTAAAGAACCTTCCTTTCCAACCAGTAGGGTAACCCTAAGAGAATGGGGCAAATCCCAATTACTTACTTTTCCTCTGTGTCCTCCCACTGCTAGGTCTGGACTACAGATGTAGTTGTGGGAGGTACACAGCAGAACAGGATAAAGCCCCAGTTTTTTGGCCAGCAGAACAGGGAGCCCCAGGGAACTGGGGAGATAACAGAAGGAGGGAAGCTCAGGAAAATGACCCCATAAAGTTGGTTCCAAACACCAAGGCCCATCTCTGAGTCTATCAGCAAAGCATTAGGGTGCCAGGTGCTCCACATTCTTACTAACACTTCATAATGTAAGTCTTTTTAATTTTAGCCATTCTACTGATGTGTCAGGGCTTTCCCAAGGTAATTTTAATTTGCATTTTGCCAATGACTAATGATGCTAAGCATCTTTTCATAAGTTTATTTGCCATCTGTATATCTTCTTTGATAAAGTATTCAAATCTTTTGCCCATTTTTATTAGTTTCTTATTGAGTTGTAAGAGTTTATAAATTGAGTTTTCAGAACTCAGTGACTTGTCAGTTCCCTAGAGTGTCTTTGGATGAGCAAAAGATTTTCACTTTGATAAAGTCTAATGCATCCATCACTCTTGTATAGTTTCACTTTTGTGTCCTACTTAGGAAGGTAAATTTGACAGCACTTCATCATAATACTGAAGGGACAAGTAATATGGGAGATATTGAAGAGAATGCCTACATTTCTGCCTTGCATGAATGAATTAATGCATATCATACTGCGACCATTTTCTCAAAGGACATCCACAACTCACTGTTAAACCAAATCGTCTTCTCTGGATTCCCATTTCTACTGAATCCCCACAGCATTCTACACTGCTTATCTAGGTCTCTTCTTTCCAAGTTCAAATCTTGAACTGTGCTTTGCTATATCCAGCCTGCAAACAACTCTCATAGCTTCATCTTCTTCATCCATGCCAATGATTTCCAAATCTCTATGCTCTCTTCCTAGTTGTGGCATCCATGAGGTTTTGATGCTCCCAAATTGAAAACCTTGATATTGTCACCTTTCACTTTAGTTCCTTTTCTCTCCTCCATGAAGATTAATATTAATTTAATAGTTCTCCAGCTATGCTACTTAAAATATTGCAGGTTTAGGAACTAGACTGAAGTGCCAAAAATGGCCACTTCCCAATTTGCATGAAAAAATAATGTAATCTAAGTTTTCCTACCATAAGTTTTTCTTAAACCTTTCTCACTTCTATTCCATCTATTCTAAAATATAATATAAAATAGTATCTGATTTGGGGGGGGGAATGTAGCTTGACATTTAATATATAAATATTTCAGAGTATTGCACACAGTATCATGACTTTTAGGTACTTTATCACCTGAACATGTTTTAGCACCACCGAGCTAATAATATGCAACTCATATTCCTACTAAACTGTTCTTCCTATGCAATATGAAACTTTTCCAATGAGGAAGTCAGACCAAGGTGGGAAAGGTGACACCAATTTGCCAGAGAAAAAATTAAGAAGTAGGCCATCAGAACACTCTATCAATTTCTTCCTTTTTAATTCCAGGCTGTGACTGCCCATCCTCTGGGTAGTAGAAACAACTTTCAGTGATCGGTATAAAAATAAAAGACTTTATATTATAGTCACCACAAGTGAGGCACATCCAGGCTGCACCCTCCAGTTAAACCAGCACATTCTGGACGTTCTCTGATTATCAGTATTTACTCCGGGAATAAAGCATAAAAACATTAGCCTCAGAAAAATAAATATAAGTATTTATAATCCCAAAGGGGATCTGCCAAAGCCACATGATTTGGGGGTCATCAGTTATTTGGAACAATCACAAATAGTGGAGTTAAATATATGAAAAGACTACTTACTGATTATACACTTTTAAGATGAAACCCAATCAACACCAAACTTCTACACTGTATTAAACATTCATTTAATTATTCAGTATGTATTAGCGGAGTACCTACTATGTGCCTCATACTGTGCAAGTCACTCAAGGCTTAATAGTGAACAAGTCTTTTACAGTACCTGACTTCATGAAGTTCGTAGACCATGGGAAGAACAAGAACAGTAAGAGTGAACTGACCTGATCAGATCTGCCCTTTGGAAGACTCACTCTGGATACTGTAGAGATGGGATTGGAGAGAAACGGGAGTGGTAAAGAACCCAGTCAGGAGGAATTACAGGCATTATGCTCAGAGTATGGTGACCCGGACCAAGAGGACAGCAGTGGAGGAGGAGGCAGACACATGAATCAAAAGGACTTGATGTTTGGATTTAGGAGGTGAGAGGTCTCCAACATCTTTCCTTCCTGCCCTCAATCTGCCTACTTAGGGTTCATGACATGTCTTTAGTTCTCACTATTCACCACTCTGTAATTGACTCCCAAACTCTATCTTTAGCTCCCACCTCTCCAATGACCTTCAAGTCCAAAATTTCAGCTGTCACTGGAGAGCTCCCCATGGATAGTAAACTCACACTCAATAGAACCCAAATCAAACCAATGAAAAATCATACCCAGAAAATTTCAATTTCTTTTTTTTTTTTTTTTTTTTTTTTTTAGCTCTTCCACCTTTTTCTCTGTCACTCAGGCTACACAGAGTCATCATCTATCTGGTTGTGAAGACTTTCTAATCTTCTGATACCTACTTCTTAACAACTCTCACTGATAGCTGGACTCTTAAAAGACATTGTGATGCAAACCAAAAGGAAATATCCAAATATCAATTCTCATTACCTCTCTTCTATTACAATAGGTCAATTGGTCTACCACCTTCAGTCATTGTGCCCTTCAATCTTGGTTACACTCATGGATCATACACACACTTTTAATAGGTAGGGAGAGCCACTTAATCTCTTGAATTACTTTTTTTTTTAATTACTTTTAAAATGAGTTATATTGGTTATAATAATTACACACAAAAAGTACAGTGAGAACAGAGGCAAGAACAACTCTAACGGAGTATACTCAGAATTTTAGTTTCTAGGTCATTAGTTCAGAATCAGAGAGTATCAGGCAGTGAGGGAATAATATTTTACCTCAGTAGCACAAATGCCTGCTAGTCACTAGGAATTCAACTGGAACAGTGAATATGAACCAGTTCTTCAGATACAAGTTCTGAGAAGGGGACCTGACAGCCACCTAGGACCCAAAGAACAGTGCCCATGGTAACCCATTCACCCCGCTTATGGCAAACAAATCTAGATAGAGCTCACCTTGCTCAAGGGCATACAGAAAATAAAAGATCTTTTAAAAATACTGCAAATGGAGGAAAGGGAACATCATCTCTTAGAAGAATATATCTCTGAAAATGATTAAGAAATGTTTCAGGAAACTGGTATCCTTAAACAGAACAGGAAAAAAACATGACTTTTACAAAACAGGAACAGAAAGCTACAAGAGGGTAAGAAAGACAACAAATAAGAGCCTTAAAAAAAAAAAAAAAAAAAAAGGATGGAAGAAAAAAGAATAACTCCAAGGAGAAAAAAATGCATGGCATTAGACACATTAACTATGGTATTGTTGCCAAAATGTTTAAACATGAACTTTAGCATGAGGAAATAATTAGACAAATTCTAAATGTGGGACATTCTATAAAACAACTGGTCTGGATGCTTTAAAAAGTCAGTATCAGGGACGCCTGGGTGGCTCAGTCGTTAAGCGTCTGCCTTCGGCTCAGGTCATGATCCCAGGGTCCTGGGATCGAGCCCCACATCGGGCTGCCTGCTCAGCGGGAAGCCTGTTTCTCCCTCTCCCACTCCCCTTGCTTGTGTTCCCTCTCTCACTGTGTTTCTCTCTGTCACATAAATAAAATCTTTAAAAATAAAATAAATAAAAAGTCAGTATCAGAGCCAAAATGGGGGGGGGGTGCAGAAGAACTTTTCCAGATAAAAGAGAACAAGAGACATGACAACTAAAGGCAACATATGATCCCTAATTGGACCCAGGCTCAAAAACAAACAGCTGTCAAGGACATTATTGGAACAACTGGGAAAATTTAAATATGGATTGTTTATTAGATAATGTTAGTATGAATGTGAAATTTCTTGATGGTGATAAAAGTATCCTCATCATATATACAGAATATGGTTGTTCTTAGAAAATATGCACTAGGGCGCCTGGGTGGCTCAGTTGGTTAAGTGACTGCCTTCGGCTCAGGTCATGATCCTGGAGTGCCGGGATCGAGTCCCGCATCGGGCTCCCTGCTCAGTGGAGAGCCTGCTTCTGCCTCTCTCTCTGCCTGCCTCTCTGCCTACTTGTGCTTTCTCTCTGTGTGTCAAATAAATAAATAAAATCTTTAAAAAAAAAAAAAGAAAATATGCACTAAAACACTAACAGATAAAAAACATCATGATGGCCTTAATTTGACATGGGATTATTCAGCCAAAATAAGTAAAATAAATATGTGTATATAATGGGGTGGGGGTGCAGGGAGGGGTTACCTATCCCCTATTATAGGAAAACACAGATAAGCATTTCCCTATTCCCATTGCTTATGAGTAAAACTTAATTTTCCTAAATTCAATGTTCATCCAAAAAGCTGCAATGACTGATAACTTCTTATACTAAAAACCACACCACTTCTGTTTTTTTTTTAAATACAATCCTCTTTCCTTTTTATGAGGCCAGCATGACCTTAACACCAAAATCTGACAAGAACATTACAAGAAAGGAGAATTACAGCCAAAATCTTCTATGAATATAGA